TGTTTGCAGGGGCGGAGCTATATTGGTGCTCGTAGGTGCAGCCGCACCCAGAGAAAAAAAAATTGAAATTAAGTTATTAGCACTAATTCTCCACCGTGTTAACCCCCCACTACGCCAGATTCTTACATTAGGAGCGGGGCCATTTTTACTGTAGAGGAGGCTGGGGTTGGAGGCGTCCCTACAGTGGACATCCTCGGGCCCCAGCAGCCCAGCCGCCCCTACAGATGGCACTATAGGGGCGGCTGGTAACCTGAGCCGCCCCTACAGTTGAGGCTGCTCTGTAGGGGCGGTTCAATCACCAGCCGCCCCTACAGTTAGACTGTAGGGACGGCTCAATCACCAGCCGCCCCTACTGATGGCGCACGAATAAATTTCAAATTTAAAATTTTAAAATGCGTAAAACATTGTCACATCTAAGTTTGACCAAACTTAAATGCTGAAGAATGATTTTAGAATTTTTTAGGAAAAAAAACCATCACATTTGGAGTTACTATGAGGGAGAACAACTAGTTACAAAGTTTACCCACAGATTAAAAAGAGAAATCACACTGTTCTAGATGATCCTTACATGATCCATAGTTAAATTTTGAATTTCAAAAAAATGCAACTTCAGACAAGATTTTGGTACCCCAAATGATTTCAGCTGAAAAAGTGATAAATACCAAAGTTGAATAACTCATCAAGATCTACAACTTTTGTATTGGTCATTTCTTCATATGACAAAGTGGTAATGACATTGTTTACAAGTGTGACACATCTCTCGTAAGGTTTTATAAACTATGAGACATGTGTAAGCTTAGTAAACAATATGTGCTAAGAATTTATCAAATGAAAAAATGACCAAAATAAAAGTTGTAGATATTCATGAGTTGAACAACTTTGGTATTCATCACTTTTTATGTTGAAATCAATTTGTGTCTCAAATTTTGGTTCGGACTTGTCGTTTTTCAAAATTTCAAATTTGAAAGGTTCAAATTTTGTCAAATGACAAGATGACTAAAATAAAAGTTATAGATATTAATGAGTTGAACAACTTTAATATTCATCATTTTTTATGTTGAAATCATTTTGGGTCTCAAATTTTGGTTCGAACTTGTTATTTTTTAAAATTTCAAATTTGAAAGGTTCAAATTTAGTCAAATGATAAGATAACCAAAATAAAAGTTCTAGATCTTGATGAGTTGAACAACTTTTGTATTCATCACTTTTACATCTAAAATCATTTAGGGTTTAAAATTTTGGTTTGAACTTGTCAAATTTTAAATTTAAAATTTTAAAATGCGTAAAACATTGTCACATCTAAGTTTGACCAAACTTAAATGCTGAAGAATGATTTTAGAATTTTTTAGGAAAAAAAACCATCACATTTGGAGTTACTATGAGGGAGAACAACTAGTTACAAAGTTTACCCACAGATTAAAAAGAGAAATCACACTGTTCAAGATGATCCTTACATGATCATAGTGAACAGTATGATTTCTCTTTTTAATCTGTGGATCAACTTTGTAACTAGTTTTTGTTCCTCATACTAACTCCAAATTTGATGATTTTATTTCCTAAAATTTTCTAAAATCATTCTCTATCAATTTATTTTGTTGGTTTTGTCAATATATACATATAAAAAGTTTAAGCAATTTAAATTTTGAATTTCAAGAAAATGCAACTTCAGACAAGATTTTGGTACCCCAAATGATTTCAGCTGAAAAAGTGATAAATACTAAAGTTGAATAACTCATCAAGATCTACAACTTTTGTATTGGTCATTTTTTCATATGACAAAGTGGTAATGACATTGTTCACAAATGTGACACATCTCTCGTAAGGTTTTATAAATTATATGAGATATGTGTAAGATTAGTGAACAATGTGGGCTAAGAATTTGTCAAATAAAGAAATGACCAAAATAAAAGTTGTAGATATTCATGAGTTGAACAACTTTGGTATTCATCACTTTTTATGTTGAAATCAATTTGTGTCTCAAATTTTGGTTCGAACTTGTCGTTTTTCAAAATTTCAAATTTGAAAGGTTCAAATTTTGTCAAATGACAAGATGACTAAAATAAAAGTTATATATATTAATGAGTTGAACAACTTTGATATTCATCATTTTTTATGTTGAAATCATTTTGTGTCTCAAATTTTGGTTCGAACTTGTTATTTTTTAAAATTTCAAATTTAAAAGGTTCAAATTTAGTTAAATGATAAGATAACCAAAATAAAAGTTCTAGATCTTGATGAGTTGAACAACTTTTGTATTCATCACTTTTACATCTAAAATCATTTAGGGTTTAAAATTTTGGTTTGAACTTGTCAAATTTTAAATTTAAAATTTTAAAATGCGTAAAACATTGTCACATCTAAGTTTGACCAAACTTTAATCTTTGAAGAATGATTTTAGAATTTTTAGGAAAAAAACCATCACATTTGGAGTTACTATGAGGAGAACAACTAGTTGTTAAAGTTTACCCACAGTTAAAAGAGAAATCACATCTATTTCTAGATGATCCTTACATGATCATAGTGAACAGTATGATTTCTCTTTTTAATCTATGGGTCAACTTTGTAACTAGTTTTTGTTCCTCATACTAACTCCAAATCTGATGATTTTATTTCCTAAAATTTTCTAAAATCATTCTCTATCAATTTATTTTGTTGGTTTTGTCAATATATACATATAAAAAGTTTAAGCAATTTAAATTTTGAATTTCAAGAAAATGCAACTTCAGACAAGATTTTGGTACCCCAAATGATTTCAGCTGAAAAAGTGATAAATACTAAAGTTGAATAACTCATCAAGATCTACAACTTTTGTATTGGTCATTTCTTCATATGACAAAGTGGTAATGACATTGTTCACAAATGTGACACATCTCTCGTAAGGTTTTATAAATTATATGAGATATGTGTAAGATTAGTGAATAATGTGGGCTAAGAATTTGTCAAATAAAGAAATGACCAAAATAAAAGTTGTAGATATTCATGAGTTGAACAACTTTGGTATTCATCACTTTTTATGTTGAAATCAATTTGTGTCTCAAATTTTGGTTCGAACTTGTCGTTTTTCAAAATTTCAAATTTGAAAGGTTCAAATTTTGTCAAATGACAAGATGACTAAAATAAAAGTTATAGATATTAATGAGTTGAACAACTTTGATATTCATCATTTTTTATGTTGAAATCATTTTGGGTCTCAAATTTTGGTTCGAACTTGTTATTTTTTAAAATTTCAAATTTGAAAGGTTCAAATTTAGTCAAATGATAAGATAATCAAAATAAAAGTTCTAGATCTTGATGCGTTGAACAACTTTTGTATTCATCACTTTTACATCTAAAATCATTTAGGGTTTAAAATTTTGGTTTGAACTTGTCAAATTTTAAATTTAAAATTTTAAAATAAGTAAAACATTATCACATCTAAGTTTGACCAAACTTAAATGCTGAAGAATGATTTTAGAATTTTTTAGGAAAAAAAACCATCACATTTGGAGTTGCTATGAGGGAGAACAACTAGTTACAAAGTTTACCCACAGATTAAAAAGAGAAATCACACTGTTCTAGATGATCCTTACATGATCATAGTGAACAGTATGATTTCTCTTTTTAATCTGTGGGTTAACTTTGTAACTAGTTTTTGTTCCTCATACTAACTCTAAATCTGATGATTTTGTTTCCTAAAATTTTCTAAAATCATTCTCTATCAATTTATTTTGTTGGTTTTGTCAATATATACATATAAAAAGTTTAAGCAATTATATTTTGAATTTCAAGAAAATGCAACTTCAGACAAGATTTTGGTACCCCAAATGATTTCAGCTGAAAAAGTGATAAATACTAAAGTTGAATAACTCATCAAGATCTACAACTTTTGTATTGGTCATTTCTTCATATGACAAAGTGGTAATGACATTGTTCACAAATGTGACACATCTCTCGTAAGGTTTTATAAATTATATGAGATATGTGTAAGATTAGTGAACAATGTGGGCTAAGAATTTGTCAAATAAAGAAATGATCAAAATAAAAGTTGTAGATATTCATAAGTTGAACAACTTTGGTATTCATCACTTTTTATGTTGAAATCAATTTGTGTCTCAAATTTTGGTTCGAACTTGTCGTTTTTCAAAATTTCAAATTTGAAAGGTTCAAATTTTGTCAAATGACAAGATGACTAAAATAAAAGTTGTAGATATTAATGAGTTGAACAACTTTGGTAATCATCACTTTTTATGTTCAAATCAGTTTGGGTCTCAAATTTTGGTTCGAACTTGTTATTTTTTAAAATTTCAAATTTGAAAGGTTCAAATTTAGTCAAATGACAAGATAATCAAAATAAAAGTTGTAGATCTTGATGAGTTGAACAACTTTGATGTTTATCAAATTTTCATTTGAGATCTTTTATTATCCTTGATATAAATACGATGAGATATAAACTGTTTTGAGTGTCTTTTTTTTTAAAAATATCCGTGCGACCGTGCCCACTCCTTGCGCGGCAAAATTTCGCAAGTCGCTGTCGCTGGCCCGCGAAGGCGGAGGACATGGGGCCTTCCATCGCGTTCTGCCGTCCAGGTCATTTCCACGGCTGGGCCTCAAAAGGTAGCAGGCCTTGGCGGCCTTCTCGCGCGACTGGCTAGCAGCTAGCGGATAAAGAAGCTCTCCCTCTCGCTGAGCCCACCTACTCCCACTTGCATTCACCCGACTCCGTTGCTGTCCCTCTCCCCTGCGGGGGAGCGATAAACCCTAGGCCTCGCCGTCGTCGGAGGCGGCGCCGCAGGAGGACCCGCGATGTTGCACTTCGGGAGGTCGGGTCCGCCGTACATCCTTGCGCGGCCTTCTCGCTCCTCGTCCTCAACATCGGCTTCCGTGAGCGAGACCTAACCCTAGCCCCTTCAACGCGCCACTGCTTGGGCGCCTCTCTAATCGCCTGCGTGCGTTGGCGGGCGAGGGGTTGCTTTAGGGTTTTGGTGGTGCGGTCGCCGTGTAGGCGGTGGTAGGGTTTTGCCATGGCGGAGAAGGGCTGCCTCAAGCGGCTCCGAATGAGTACCACGCGCTCGCAAGGTGAGCTCGGTTGGATTGGGGTCGATTGGTGCGCGTTGCTTTGATTCGCTTCGTCGTGGCTCGATTTCTAACGGTTGGTTTTGGTTTGGTTTGGATTGCAGGAGCCGCCGCCGCAGATCGTGGCTCGCGCCCACGCCCAACGACATATTGAGTGGCGTGAGTAGCCTCCTCCGTGACCCCTCGCTACTTGTAGATTCGATTCGTTGCCTTTTGGTTGGCTAATGTTGCAAAGTGAACTGGGTGTGATTGGTTGATTGTGCTCAATTTTGTCGGAAGCGATGGTGTAGGCATAACGGTTTAGGCGTAACGCGAAAGCGTTACGTTCATGTTGGGTTTTTCAAGTTTCTATATATGTGTGGTTGCTCCGTGCATTGCGTGATGTGCTCGACTCATCACTCACCGCTACGGTTCTCGAAAGAAAGCGTCTTGCCTAGCAATTTATTGTTTAAAGTTCAATTTGTCGGATGTGAGCCTTAGTTACGTATAGTGAGGTGAATTGAGTATACTTGTTCGCTCATATAGACTAGCTCTCTGGCAGTACTACACATTAGCAAGATTCAAATTCTCTTGCATGTTGTGAGGGTCAATCATTGTGCATATAGAAAGTTCGGTGCCAAGAATTCGAAAATAGGAAACAATTGTGTGGCGATTGTTGTTTTGTTTCAATCTTTCTATCTGAAAATAGACAATAGTGCATCAAGGTGTTTGCATGGCATGCTTGTGGTGCAATGTACATTTGATGCATTGGTTAGATATTTGTTCAACAATCATTTGGATATCTGGTTTAGTCGCACTATTGCCTTATCTAGTCATGTGAGAGATTGTGCTTGTTCTGCTTATGGTGCATGGCTCTAGGACTAGGCTTTGTTGTTGTTGTTGTTGTTATATGTGATTGCTATAGGTGTCTATGGAAAGGTTAGAAGTTTGTACTTCTTAGGTATTACACCTTCTCTGAATTTGATGGTTGCGCTTTTAATAAGTGATGCATTTATCAGTGGCAACAGAATACCCCTGGCCCTGTATTTTTTGCCTCATGTATGCCTTGATGCTAAAGTGTCCTTACTCATTTGAAGCTTTGGTTTATAGTTACAATCCGTTTTATTCTTCAGATTGTATCTAGAAGGCTCTGTATTTGTCATGCTTATCTTAATGCAATACCAATTTTCTTGCTTTCTTTCAGTGATATATTTGCCTGTTTGGTACTGACTTGTGTTTTTCTTCTTTTAATGCTAGACTATGTACTTGAAGGAAGTAAAGACACACCCTTTGAAGGTAAAGATCATACATACTATACCGCATTATCTACTACATCCAATTTTTGTTTTGTTGCTTATAATCTCTAACAATGTTTTTCATGTTTTGATTTCCCACCTGTAGGTGGATATTACTATAGGAAGCTCAAATTCCCACCAGATTATCCTTTTAAACCTCCAAGTATCTAGTGCGGAAACCTTTAATGTTGTTAATACATGATAAATGTTTGTGTTTTAATGGCATGTTGCTTCTTATTAAAGTGTAAAGATTGAAAACTGTAACTAGAAGATTTTTATTAGATGTAGATTAAAATGCTAATTCTTTGTTTATGTTTCTAATTTATTTAATTGTTCAGCATGACAACCCCTAGCGGCAGGTTTGCGCCACACAAAAGAATATGCCTGTCAATGAGTGACTGTAAGTTCTGAACTTGTTTGCGGATCATACCTTTTGTTATTACCTCTGAAATAATGCTCGTTATTACAATGCTTCGCAGTTCATCCTGAATCTTGGAATCCAATGTGGTCTGTTGCAAGGTACGCACATACCGATAACTGGCTACATGGTTGTAATGTGTTTTTTGAAGCTATAGTGTACAATTTTTCTGCTACTGTACAATGTACAGACTCTAATTTCTGCCAGTCAAATCACTACTTTGTGGTAATCCGCAATCATTTCAACTTCTGTTGCCATGAGATGGGACAACTGAAACTGATAGGCTAGCCTTAGGACGTTGATGACAATGTGGACTTGTGGTATGGTTTGGATCAAACTTTGAAACGGTTTGGACTTTGTTTTGCATGTGGATTTGTGGATTTCTTAATGGACTATGTTATAATGATGGACTTCATAATAGACTATGTTGTAATGATGGACTTTATAGTGCATAATTATGACTTGTGATGATGTTCTAAATAATGGTCTTGTGTTTGTGGATGTATATATGTATATTTGTGACGGTCAGATTCGAATTTGAATTATATATATATGCGGTCAGATTTGAATTTGAATTTTTTTTTTTTGAAAAATTCACTATAGGGGCGGTTCTTGATTGAACCGCCCTTACAAATACACACAGCAGGGGCGGCTGGTGATACAGCCGCCCTTACAGAAGTCCACTACAGGGGCGGCTGATGTTACCAGCCGCCCCTACAGAAGGCATTGTAGGGGCGGCTGAAAACACCAGCCGCTCCTACAGAGGGCACTATAGGGGCGGCTGAAAACACCAGCCGCCCCTACAGAGAGCACTGCAGGGGCGGTCAGAAAACCGCCCCTACAGAGGCACCCTCTGTAAAAACACTCTAGGAAGGACGGCTGACGCAGCCGTCCCTACAGAGCCTCTAGAGTCGCCTCTACAGTTAAAATTCTGTAGTAGTGCCCCCAGTCACGCACCCAGACTGCACCAGGGAAAGGAAATAATCGCTTCCTATTCGCTTGTATACGCGCGGCGCTAATCCACTCGCCTAATGCCCATCCACTGATGCTTCGAGCCTTTGACTTTTTCCTATTCTCGTCCTGCCATCCTCCACTCTTATTTGATCATTTCTCTTCTGTCCCAAGATGCCTAGTGCGCTAGCCAAGCAGCGGATTCAACCCATCACAAAGCAAGGCATGTAACCTCAATGAATCTCCCAATTGTTTTCAATTCTCATCAAGTTGGGCACCGTAATTAGATTCTAGTTATGCCATTCTTGATTATATGTTTAGATAAGTTTTATGGGATTCAAGACCCACTTGGATTTTTTTTCTGCATTTATGATAGTAAGCAATTATAATTTAATTCGCTTGCGAAAGACAGCAAACAGCTTGGGATATAATCTTGTCAAAGTAGGACCAGATTAAGAACGACGTGGCCTAGAAAAACTTGTTTGAACGACCATTATAAAACTCTCAAAAATCTATCTGAGTTTGATTCTGTCCACGTTTAGGTGAATGCAGTGTGAGTGGATAAAATAAATATGTGTGATGTGTCCAAGGATCCAACAGTACGATCAGTATAGTTAAGAAAAATCTAATGGCTATCATTATGACATATCTCATATTATTGTACGTATGTTCTTTTTACAATTTGTATCCTAATCCTCTCAATGAAACACATGTTGTAAAGCATGTTCACGAAAAAAAAATTGTATCCACGTATTTCATTAACATGAGGGCCTATGCCTCCTAATTTCCGTATTCACGTAGCATATTAACGTAAAGTTGCGCTGAAGTGGCGCACTCCCCTCATTTCTGCTCTAGCTTCGCCCGTGTTTGGATGCCTGTGCAGCAGCTTGGGCCTGGTTGCGCGCATGCAAAAGCCGCCGCTCGGCCTGGCCGGGGAGGAACGAAATCGAAATCCGTTTCCTCCGGGGCCAGGCTCGCGCAAGCGCAGCTCGCGCGTGCGGGCGTGCGTGTTTCTTCGAGGCCTGGTTTAATTCCTCCCTAAAAATTTACACCCTATTCGTCAAATGTTTAGACACATGTATGGAGTATTAAATATATGCTAAAAAAATAACTTACACAGATTGCGACTACTTTGCGAGACGAATCTTTTAAGCCTAATTAGTCCATGATTTAACAACAAAGTGCTACAGTACACACATTTGCTAATGACGGATTAATTAAGCTTACTAAATTTATCTCGCGCTTTACGGACGGATTATATAATTTATTTTTTTATTAGTCCGAATATCATATATGACACTACCATGTGACACCCGATGTAACTAACGCGTCAAAACTTAAACTAAACAAGGCCTCAGTGGTGGAGCCAAAAAGCTGCTTCACGCATGCACCCAAACAGCTGCGCGCTCGGGCCTGTCTCTGTTCGCCTGACCATCCAAACAAACCGGCTTGCATGTTACGAGCCTGGCGCTCGAGGGACAGGCTGGGTAGGTACGCGCCTGGCTGAGTTCCAACGTGAACCAATCACGCCCATACTGTCAGCACCTCATCAATCCCTTTATTTAACTTCTTCCTTAGCTACGATACAAAAGTACAAACACAGAGACAGGGTAGAGAGAGCTCCTGGCTCCAGATTTTCTCGACGAGAATCACTTCACGGTAGCCGAACGGTAAAAAAAACCAACAGCTCCATCAAAGAATCCGACAGAATCGATCTTCACTTTTGTGATGCCGGCCTGAGAGCTAAAAATCCCTGCTCCCCGCACCCCCCACGCCCGCTCCACATTCCCCACCATTCGAGTTATGAAACTCCCCGTCAAGTTCGCCAAATTTACCCACCATTGCCACTGCTATATAAGAAAAAAATATCCCCTCTCCTCTCCCTCTCCCGTCCGTTCCCCAACCCAAGCTGCCGCCAGCCCACTAGCGCGGCCCCCGCCCTACGCCGCCTGGGCCCGCGCCATTATCGGAGACTGCCCTGTCCTGCTCGCCGGAACGAGCTCCCGGTCCCTGCTCACCTGAAGGCCGGCCTCGCCGCCAGCCAGGAACCCGTTCGTGCAGTAGGCGTCGTCGGCCAGGATCCCGTCCTGCTGCTCCCCTGCAACGAACGCCGCCCGGCCGGCTCCACCGGTCCCTGCAGCCGGCGCCGGCGACCTGCATCCCGGCTAGGCACTCCCCCCGAGCCGAAGGTGAGGGCCCTGCTCTCCCCTTTTTCCCCGTCAGATCTAAACTTTTTTTAGTGGTGGATTGAGAGTGTATGTACCAGTAGATTATCATGTGTAGGAGGACACCCCGCTCTCCCCTTCCCCCGTCGGATCTGCAGTTTTTGCAAATTTTTTGATACACTGAGACACATACAAGTGACGTGTACTCGGGTCGATGGGTGAGTTTGCTGTTGTTGGTTGCAGTAATTTTAGGGTGATTACAGAACAATTTTGGGGTTGCACTCAATTTACTGGTGTTACTTGATTTGTTTGACCTATGTGAATCTTCTAATTTTCTACTCCTATGAAAGAACCACTACTGCTTGATAAACACCCATTTTATATTAGATTAACTTATCATTATACTAGACTTGTGCCGGTGAGTTACTACAGGGAGCTAGCTTTTTTTAATACAATAAGAGGAGAATGACAATTGACAAGCACCACTTGTGTCCATATAACTGTTAATTGGATTCACATTCTTCAATCAAAATAACAGGTCACTGGTCCACATGTGCCACACAAAATAACAGGTCATTGGTTCACAAACCAAGCAAAATAACACTGAGGTGCACTGCAATAATCACCTTTATTAGATCAAGCAATGTCAGATTTGTCAATTCTCAAAGCAGAACTAATGGATAATGACAATTGACAAGCATCACTTGTGTCCATATAACTGTTAATTGGATTCACATTATTCAAGCAAAATAACAGGTGACTGGTCCACATGTGCCATACAAAATAACAGTTCATTGGTTCACAAACCAAGCAAAATAACACTGAGGCGCACCGTATAATCACCTTTTGTTAGATCAAGCAATGTCAGATTTGTTAATTCTCAAGGGAAAACTAATGGATCATTTGTCTACGTCCATTCTCACGAGTTGCCTGTGCAAACTGTCAACAAAGCATCTCAAAATTTGCACGTGTAGTCAAATGGAACTATTGTAGCCTAATATGATGGAGGAGCTGGTACCGTTGCAACAATCTCAGGAGTCTCTGCAATAGCACAGAGTAATTAGAATTGTGAGTAGACAATGCACAAAGTAATTAGAATTGTGAGAAAACAATCTCAGGGTTGCAGGAGCCAGCTTTATGATTTGTTTGGGCGCCATTTACTTTGCTAATATTCATTAATTAGTTTTATTGTGGGATTAGTTTTCCAAGTAGGTGTATTGTACTTGTATCTGTTTATATACCCTGGTTTTGTCAATGCGTGTGATGATGGATTGCGTTAGTGTTTGTTGCAGGTCAAGGACTTGCGAAGGCTGTATTGGACTCACAATAATCTCACTGTCATGGATGTGACGCCCTTGTGGAACCACTCATCCGATGCTCTGCTATATGCTCACCATCCTTCTCACATGGTGAGCAGTTTAAAAAAAATGAGAAAGCGGTTCATTTATTTATTACCTAAGTGTTCCAAACTGATGGGGTTTTGCTATCGCAGGTGGATTTGAATAAAACACAGAATCCAGATGGTTTTAGCCATTGTCATGAGCTAGGCAGGCAGGCCCCTCATTTCCTCGTCAATGGGGTCTCATGGGGAAATTTGGATGCCAAGGGTTCAATTCCGAGGAAGCAAGTGTTCCAAAGAGATGAGGTTTTGCTATCGCAGATGGATTTGAATAAAACACAGAATCCAGATGATTTTAGCCATTGTCATGAGCTAGGCAGGCAGGCCCCTCATTTTCTCGTCAATGGGGTCTCATGGGGGAATTTGGATGCCAAGGGTTCAATTCCGAGGAAGCCTGACTCTTGCAGTGTACAGGGAAATTCTGGTTGCCACTATATCATTGATTTAGAGAAACCAGCCACATTGGATTGCGGTGTACAGGGAAAGTCTGGTTGCCACTATATCATTGATTTAGAGAAACCAGCCACATTGGATTGCAGTGTACAGGGAAAGTCTGGTTGCCACTATATCATTGATTTAGAGAAACCAGCCACATTGGATGATGAGGATGCAGACTATGCTAACCACAATGGTGGTCTTTCAGATAATTCACAATCTGTTCCACTGGATAGCTCTTTGGTGATGCGTGGTCACTTGTGCACAGGTCAAAGTGCCCCTTATGTTACTTCTGGTTAGTTCATCAAAATTCCTGTTGGGTTTGAACTCTAGCCTACCCCAACTTGCTTGGGACTAAAAGGCTTTGTTGTTGTTGTTGTAGTTCATCAAAATTCCTCCTTATCTTTGCCCTGCTTAGAATATCATACTTCATATATCTCCGGAGATTCCAAATGCTGTTGCAAATTGCAATGGTACTACTAGAATTCGCATGTGTATCGATCAATGCACAGCAAAGCAATTTTCTCTTAATACTATAGATAGACTACTTTTCAAAGAATAACACACAACAAAACCTTAATATGGAGCGGCTCTACATATGTGTATATGGTTAGGTTACAGTCTTGTTAGGACTTGAATTGAAATTGGGATAGGTGGTTATGGATAAAGTTTAGGCCATGCTTTGTATCCACCCATAAATATGAAAGTGCTACTGTTGTAACCGTGAGATGATCTGATGGCTGGTTTGTGCGACGGCGGTGTCTTGATGCAGCTGGAGCTGCTGTTTATTGGGGAGGAGTGCTGATAGCCATTGCCCTGGGATTTAGGCCACATGGCTGAATGTTAGGATATATCATACACGGTGGTTATTGTGTGTAAGGCCTCAAAGGTGGCGTGCATATTCGCCAAGGTGGAGCTGTTAGATTTGTGTTGAATATGTGTATGGTTAGTTACAACAGGACAGCCCATAAATATTAGGGCACCACCTTGGCACCTTTATAACCGTTATACGACTTGGCGGCTGGTTTAGATGGCTGCTCTGGTCTGATAGCATCCTAATGCCGGTGTAGCTGCTGATTATAGATTTATAGGGAAAGGGCGCCCATAGTCATTGCGCCACGGATGTAGGCTGCAAGGCTGAGCCTTATTAACAATTTTTGTTCCTCAGTGTTGTTTGTTGTGTGCTTCTTTGATGTCACTTGTGATCTTGTGCGCTTTCACATCAATTGATTTGATGCCGTCAGCGTGCTGCATCGATGATTTTCTAACAGAATTCATATCTGAATGCTCTTGCAATGGTACCACCAAAAGGGCTCTGCCTTCAATTTCTGAACTCTTAATAAGTTATCCTGTGCTGTTAGTCAAACTGATTGCTGCAAGAATATATTTTTGTGCTACACTTACATCTGCTTCTTGTGCACTGTGTGTTGTTTATTGCACACTTGATTAGTGTAAGATTCTCATGAGCTATTTGATTGACTCTTCCAATCTTCTATATGCAGGTTCAGTTGGTTCCAGTGATACCCCAGACAGTCATTCACCTGCCAGAACAAAGAATACAGCATCTGGACGCATGTTTATTGATCTGAATGTAGCCCAGGAGGATGATTTTAATTTTGTCCTGATCCTCCAAATTGGTGTGCTCTACTTCAACTAGTTCTGCTACAAGACAGTCTGGAGGTTTTTGCAACAATTCGAGCAAAACATTCCTCAAAGGAAGTGAATCTAGTATCGGATCATCGAAAGGATCCTCCGTAACAGTCGCCACGACTATCACTGTTCCAGATAGTTCAAGGGAAGTGTTGGCTGCAGGTTTATTTCGTGATTGCCAGAGCCACAAGCCTTTCTTTATGGAAACATCAAATCCACTTCCCAGAAAAAATAGCCATCATCAGATGATTTCCAGATTGGAGTCTCAGGGTTGTATGGAAATGGAAGTACCACGGAAAGGACTCTCAGTTCGTTCCAGCGGTGAAAATAATTCTTATTCAGGTTTAACTAAACTGGGAGGCAGCCAAGCCACAAATTTAATGGGACAAGTACAAGCAGCTGTTGTTGTACATAGGGATAACCAAGAGGAAACTATAACAGTAATATCTGATCACAAAGTGGAAGGCTTTGACCTAAATGTAGCAGTTGAGAACACTGATTGTCCAGCAAATTTTGAAAGCAGTTATTTAAGGCAACATGTAAATAATGATGACAGACATTGTTTGGCTCAGAACGAGGCTCAGCAAAATATTGCCCCCATTGAATGTCCAATTAGTAGAAACCAGAACATGGTTGCTAAGAGCACGGATGGTGAGGATGTACGGAGTCCAGTTTCTGGAATTGCAATTAACAGGTCTGTTGTGATCCCGGAAACTCCTCAGGGTCGCGACTATGCATGTCCACGGTCGAGATCGTCATGTAATGCAGCATCAGTTGCGCCTGAAGCTGTCAGCTTTGATGAAACGGAGATGGGAGAGGACGAAAAAACTGCTGCCACAGCAGCTAAGACACTCGTTTCCATGTTTGCGAGCAACTCTGCATGGTTGACAGATGGCCCTGGAAGCAACGGTGAAACAGACGCTGAGGATGCAATGCAGGAACCTGCACCTTCATTGAATTCTTTTGAGGAAAGCATACTGAGCCTAGAGGAGATGAAAGATGATGGGGAATCGGTCCTAGTGAGAGCACCCGACAACGATGGGCCTTCATGTGGGATTAAGCTGAAGAGGGGGAGGGGGTTGAGAGATTTCCAGAGGGAAATATTGCCTGGGCTTGTGTCCCTGGCGAGGCATGAGATATGTGATGACTTGCACTCCATAGGATATGAAATCAGGAAAAGCCGGTTACGGAGAAGCCCTGGTGATGAGGGTAGTCCACCAACACGAATACGACTGCCTAGGCGTTGTTCTACCGCATGGAACCGATGAACGAGAAGTCCTCGACGTCACACTGTGACATCATCTCACAGCATGCAGCGGCAAGCAGCAGGAAAAGCAGAGTTAGCTTTGAAGGCCACCGAATCTAACTGGCTTTGTGCATCACGCCGTGCGCTGAGCATGCATTGCCGGGAATGAAACCCGTTGTATCAATAGCCATTTGATTGGAGAGATTTGTTTCAATTGTAATCTGCAACTGCGGCCAAAGGCAAATCGTCGCGTTCGTTAGATGTAATTGTGCTTTACGTAGCTTCCTGCCTGGCGGGATGATGAATGGCTAGCTCCATAGAATTGAATTGAATGGAATGGAATGGAATAAAAGGTTGGCTGTTTGTTCTTGTTGCACCTTTCACTGCAGATAGAGCTGCATGTGGTCTGTTTGTCATTGAGGTGGCTGCGGATCGCTATATACGGCGTGTGCAAATATATGCCTGGCATGTCGAAACCATGAGCCGGAAGGGGCTATCGACAGAAGTTAGAAGCAAAGTCAGATGCCTGTTCGGCGGCCTGGTTTTTACAGCCAACAGCTGGCTCTCACAAAATTACTGTGCTTTCACTGCGTTTACAAGCAGCATAGGAGTAGGCGCGCTCTGCCGTGCCTGTTTTAGCTCTGCATTGATGTGGATTATATCTTGTCCACCCTGCATCTCTGCAACTGATGCAGGTAATTGGTAGAGAGGTTTCATTAGTACCACAGAGAATACTAATGTGCATCTAAAGGAACATTTCGCAGAAATATATAGCAATGTAACCGTAGTTATATCATGCGAGGAAGCAGTGGATGCTGAAGGTACAATATAATAGATCAGCACGGCTGAAAAACAAGGACATTTGTTATATAAATGCAGTATATTTTGGGCTCATGGGTTCAATGCTGTTAGCAGAGAAATAGTTATCTGATGCAAGCAGGTACAGTAAAGAAAGCGAGAATCCATGCAACACTTTGCAGACTGACAACAGCCAAAAGAAGGAAAACACTCGTAATCATCTACTCTAAACCTAAGGAAAAAAAATAGAAAACTGTGCCTAAGCTGTGATGTATTCAGGTCTCCCCTTGGCCTGAGTTCCCTTGATCCCATCAATTGTCTGATTCCATTTTCTAAAAAAAAAAGTTCTTCCAGCTACCTCTCTTGTAATATGAAGTTGTAGATGTGAGAGACTAGTTCTGCTCAATCATCCTTTAATTTGAACATTCCGCGGGGATCAACTGGGCTAGGTCACTGCCTCACGCACCGACAGCCACAGGTCGGTGTCGGTGATGTAGCATGTAGGGGCTAAGTCCATCATTTTTAACTCTGTCCTAAGTTGAACTTATCTTACTTTGACTAAGTTTTTTGAAAAATAAATTAACATTTACAATATCAAATAAATACATTACCATAATATATTTCATGCTGTATCAAATAAATCTAGTTGATGTTTGTAGGTGTTTCTGTATTTTTTTTTGTGTAAACTTAGTCAAAATTAGAGAAGTTAGGGGTTAGACCTTACGTTCACAAAGAACCCTTGCAGCCACCACTCCTTTGCTCCTCGGCACCATTGTCACTGCCGCCAATGGCCCCTCTCGATCTTCTTCTCTGGCGAGTCTATCAGTGACATGGAGAGGGGACCATCTCTCTTTTCTAGCAGTTTTTAGATCTAGTTTGTTTTAGTGTTTTGCTCAAATAAATTTACTGAAGAAATCATATGATTTTCGTTTAGCATCTTATTATCTGCGATGACTTCGACGATTGCCACAACGAGGTCACCGTTGTAGCTAGGCATCTATTGATAGGAGTCCAATTTATGGCCATTATCTATAAGAGGAGTTTTGCTTTTGAACACTCCCCATATGAACAGTAACGACATTATTGTCGTCGGCCGCGAAGAGAAAATCAGGCATACATGACTAATCAAGGGTGGGAGGTGATGAATCTACAGCCTACGTTGTACCCGACGATACAACTGATGATGTTCTTTCAACATTTTAGATGTGTTTTGGACCGGTTCCAGAACGTTGCATCTTGCGGCATGTCTAATGATTTGTGGTTGATCGTTAGATTCAGCATAAGGATTACAGTTTGGCTTCGGTATTCAACAAGGCTCTGTTTTGCATCAAGGAAAGCCAAGGAAAGAATACGATGGAAAGATCTAGATAGAATATTGTATCCTTTTTATTTCATAATATATATTTGTGTAATTTGGAATTGGAGAGGTACAATGCCGAGTTTTATACAATTTCCATTCTCTTTGCAAAAAAAAAAAGTTAGAAAAGTTTGACTTGAGACAGAGCTAAATCGATTTACGATTTGGACGGAAGGAATATATCTTAATCAGTAGATAAACTGATGTTAAAACCTAGTGTTTTGCCGGCATAAATGCTCTGCTTGTTGTATGTAACAGAGGGCATATCATGACAGCTGAAATTGTCAAAAGCTAAAATTTCCAAGTCTATAACCAGAACTACCTTAATTGAGAGTGGTAATTATAGCTGAATCTCAGATCTGGTTTTCGTAGTTAAAGTATAAAAAAATAAAAATACATCTATATGTCCCCGGATCAAGAACGAGTCAACCAAGGATTGTAATTTGTAACGTTGGGTTCGACTTCGATATATTGTCACTAGTCAGCCCACGATTGAGATAGAAAAGAAAGTAAAAGTAAAATTTTGTCCTAACAATACTCATCCCAAGTTCCCAACTTCTCGATCAACGCATCTGCATCTCGATCCCTCTCGATGTCACCGTCGACGCCAGTGCACGTTTCCGCCGCCGCAGCCTCGAGCACCGACGAGAGGACGTCGTCGTCTCGGCCCCTGGGAGGCATCAGCAAGTGCCCCAAGCGGATGGCGCCCCTGGAGGACGCGGACGCGGACGCCGGCGGCTTTGGCCTCATCGACGAGCTCCTCCTCCATGTGTTCGCGAATTATCTGGGCATGGCCGACCTCCTCCGCTGCGCAGCCACCTGCCGGCGCTGGCGCCGCCTAATCGCCAGCGAGGCCGAGTTCATCTGCCGCCGCGACCGTGTCGGCGTCGACGTCGTCGGCTTCTTCCATCGAACGAGGCACCAGTACCACAGCGATTGGAGCCGTTTCCTCCCGCCCCCCTCCACCTGGCGCGCCTTCCTAGGCGTGGACGTGGCACTCGACGCCGACGGCTATCTGTTCAAGAACTCCCTCCTGGTGGCGTCCCGGAGAGGCCGCCTCCTCCTCGACCTGCGCGGCGCGTCGGGCAACGACGCCGACGCGGCCCTAAGCAGTGCCGGCCGTAGGGCACGAGGGGCCCAGGTATACAAACCCTGGATGTTAGAGTCCATCAGACATTAGTAAACTAATAAGAAAAGAGATATGAACTGGTCAGCTGGTTTAAAAAGACAACATCGGTATTTCTTTTCTAATTTTCTTTTCCCACGGCTCTCGGGCAGAGAGGGGGCGAGGAGTCACGTTACACACAACACACTCTGATCGTGAGTTCGCGACGTGCGCCTTACACACACGAAGCAGGCGAGCCACGCCGCCGCGAAGAGCTAGACTACCAGAGACACGGACACGGCGCACGAGGACGACGACCAGGCAGGGCTCCACGACGACAACATCTTAATTCTTGGCTTCTTATGAATTACGATCACTAATCAGTTGTTTAGACCCAAGGTATTTTTTTATTTTTAATCCAAATTAATTATTTGTATAGTATTCTAGATTTCTAGTACTTTATACTCATATAGTCATATTTTCTTCTAATTTAGGTGTTAGAATTTTAGAATGTTACCTAAGAAATATTTGGCTTATGTGAGAAAAGAAAACGAATATATTGTTTTTTTAATTTACATTGTTCCTCGATAATTATTATACATCTATAAATATATTTTTTAATCTAAATTGTTCCTCGATAATTATTAGACATGTCAAATTAAAAATATATTATTAAATTTGCTTTCATTTTACAAGTAAAATTAGCACATATATATTATAAAATTTTATACACGGTGTCGTTGCGACGAGATCGTAAGGGCCCTTAAAATTCAGGACCGGCACGGACCCTAAGGCTCGCCGTGGTCAACCTCACGACCGGCGGCGTCTTCAACCTCCCCTCCCTCGCCTGGAACGACACGCCCGAGCGGTACGCCTGCGCGTTCCTTGCCGTAGCCGCCCTCCACGACGGCGGCGTCCATCCGCCGCCGGTTTCCGTGTCGTCCTACTCTACAAGCGTAGCAACGACTCCATGGCGTGCCGGTCCTGCTCGTCCGATGACACCAGCGCGTGGGGGTTCTGGGGACCCGAGGGCACGGTTTCCGGCGCGAACGTCAGCAGCCGGCGGCTGGCCGAGATGGCCGACAACGCCGGCGTGGCCGTCCGCGGCACCGTGTTCTGGCTGTCCGGCAAGGTGGTGTTCGGGCTCCGTCTGGACACGCTGCGGGGGACGGTCGAGTCGCCCAAGTGGTACGGCATGTACTCCGGCTTCGACTCCCTGTACCCGGACCGCCGGCTCACAGTGCTGCCGGATGGGCGGCTGGGCGCGGTGCAGCTCGGGCGAGGCGACGCCGGCACCTTCGTGGTGAACGTCTTCTCCCGGAACGACGGGAAGCGGCCGGTGAGGCGCTGGGTGTGGGAACAGGCGCGGGACGTCGACCTGGAGACGCTGCTGCCGCAGCCGCCCGTCGCCGGTGGCGCGAGGATGATCCGCCTCGGGGCGGTATGTGAGGAGAACGGACTCGTCTTCTTTGCAACGATGGATGGCGTCGGCCAGCAACAGCAGGTGGCGTCGTTCGCGCTGGACCTGGAGAAGAAGAAGGTGCAGGCGACGCTGGTCCGCCATGCAGGCCGTTGCTGCTTTTGCAAGCCGTCCTGTAGGCTTGCGGCGTTCATGGCTACGACACCAGAGGCCTACCTGACCTCGCTCGGTGCGTGAGATCATCTCGTCTCGCGTGTAAAGAAGAAGACGTGTGCGTCGGAATCTGTCTATTTGGAACTCGAGTGATCTGACCCATTTGGACACTCAAGCAATTTGACGCAA